TGGAGGCCCTAAATTGCACCTAAATTGCACCTAATTCCTGAGTAATTCATTTTTTTGAGAAGTGGGTCAGCTAGCGTGACGGACGTACTCCCAACGCTAGTTGCAATCCACCATCATTAATATCATGGTACGCCAAAGGATAGTTTCTCTAATTAACCTGGAATAAATCGGGAGGCCTGCAGCGCAGAAACCGAGCGACCTATACAGCCCCCCCTGATCACCTTACCGATCAGGCATGAGCACGAAGACTTCGTGGGGCTGTGTGTCCTCTTGCACCGCGGTCGAAGTTAATAGTTTTGGATTTCGAAATCGAGTCCCACACGACTATTAACAAATTTGACACATGCAATGTTAAATAATTTAACTTTTCACACTCACCATTGCTAAAAAAAAAATGCCGGCCAGTCAACATGCATGTATGCTTGTGAATTGTATATTAAACCGCGAACTCAACAGATATAAAAGCCCTCGTTGTTTATGGCTATCATACCAGTAAATAATGCAATCACTTCAAGAATTATTTTGTAATGAATTCATCCTCAATTAATCTACATGAGAGTTTTAGGCTAATAGTTTGGTGACATGCGCTGAATTATAATAAAATAATAAATGCATCGCACTCCAAATACACAGATGTAACAATACATACATACAAACACGCATATATACAATATAAAAATAATAAATGCAAAATAGACACACTAATTTATATGTACATAAAGTCAAGTCTGAAGAAGTTCAACAAATACTATATGTATGTATGTATATCTTAACGGTGACATACATTACTTGAAAATTAGCACAGCATTTATGGTGCATAAATAGCAAGTGCAGTGGCACAGAATGAAAGCGTTAGTATACCCTTCAGCACCGAACACCAACTTCACCACCACACCACTTCAACACACTTTGTGCACATTGCCGCCCGGAATCAGTATGACTCAATACCATTACCATAACTACATACTCGCGTTCCTGATGGTACTTACTTCGCTTGTCTGTGAAGTCGAAGACGACA